ACGGTCTCTCAAGCTGAAGTCCTGTGGCTGGGGGGGGTGGTGCTGCTCCAGATATGACAAAGGAGCACTTGCCTTCCGCCCCCAATGTTTGCTTCATGGCACCAAAATTAATAGGTACATCTCTGTTCTTTATGTACACCTCTGTTCTCACAGGAGAAAACCAGACCACATAATTTGGCTCTATCTTAATAAGTTATGTAGTCAATGACATGCTATACTGTAAATCTCACATACAGAAGGACATAAAAAACTCCACCGACAAACTCATTTCATTTGCTGAAAATGCCACACAGTACACCCAGGGTTCCATCTTCAAGGTACTAAAAATTGGTATGATCCACTAGGTTAGCCAAACAGGTATTTCACGTTAAGTATGCAAATAGTCCTGTGAAGTCAGTGAGAATATTTAAATACCTTTGCAGTACCTGCTGAAGTGTTTTAGTGGATAAAGACAAAGTGCTCAGCTCCTGATAGGATTGAGTCCAAAATTAGATCATAAAACGTCAAACACAAAAACAGGTGACTAAAAAGCAGCTCTAATATTTTATTTTTCAGATAGCGTATATACAGTGTAATAATGTCCACTCTAATAGGCAAGTCTTATTAAACTCAGTGTATTTTCAGATAGTCTCTATCCTGAATTTGAAAGCTATGTCTTCTTTGTGATAGAAAGGAAAGTAGTAGTCACCAGAACTAGTTTCATCCTCAGCACTATACATACAAAGTACAGTTTCACAGTGAGGTGACAAAAATAACAGATCTGTGAAATAATTTTAAAATGATTTGCTGAATTTAAGATACTGTTGTGTATCTTCTTATGTACTACAGTTGTGTGTGCATATGTTAATATAAGGAAAAATGCAATAAAATCTATGTGAATAGAATTTCTGGATAAAAATAAATTAGAGGACTCCTTCGTATTCTGAGGATAGTATATGTCCTTTGTTGACAGCAGCCTGAAGAAAATGATTATGGCTTGAGGTCTGGCTTTGAGGAGGGAAAAAGTGTAAAGAATAAATATTTTCCACCCAATAGCATAAGTTTTATATAAAATACCTTTACTACACACATTTTTCATATAAATTAACGATTAACCAATATTATATCTTTATGTTCCGCTGCTAAGATATTATGATGATATGTGCCATAATAGTAAAATAGATATATAAATAAGTACATATTTTGATAGTTTTGTGTACAATTAATACAGGAGGTACAAGTATCTAACTTACGTCAACAAGTAGCCTTTACCAGTCAAGAAATCTGATTTTTTAAACTATTTATTAATTAATACAAAATATCAAAAATCAATTTAACATTTTAAGATACAACCAGTCCCCTAAAATATCTATAAAGACAAATATCTATTTTCCATCAACAGTGCTCCCTCAAGAAGGCTGATTTAATGACAAGAACAATTTATTTCTCTCTGGGTAGATGGAAACATTTGGGCTCAGCTTCTTAAGAGCCTTTGTTCATGAACATCTGTGTTGAAACTCCTGTAGTTAACAGATGATATTGGCAGTAAAAAAGTGATTAAGGCTTTCTATAATGTCATCGTCAATTTTTTTGTGGACCTCTACATAATAATTATGGGAGGGGGGAGGGATGGAGTGATCTGACTTGTTATTGTAGCACTTATATTCAGAAGACTGCCAGTAGAAGCCCTTTTGTGACAAATGATATTATTCTGTTCTTTTCATTATTCTGCAAGCAGTGACATGCTTTTTGTTAATTATATTATGTGGTTGTTCCACAAAGCATGAAGGATGAAGGTTTGCCCATCCAGTGGTTTAATCATGTGAACAAGAACAGGCAACAAAATATTTAGTTTTAGAGATTAAAAAATATTTTAACCATGCAAGTCAATTTCAAAATTAAATACTGGAATTATATATGATATACCAGTGCTACTGCTTTATACTGATATAATCTTTTCCCTGTTTGTGTTACTTTACAAAAGCCACTGTTACTGGCTCTATGATAGTTAGGGAGACAGAAGCAGAAAGGTGAAGTGAATTTCCCATGTTCATTAGGGGTGTGCAAAATGGGCCGTAGTCTATTCAGATTCGGATTCAGCCTGAATTGGGGACAGTGATTCGCTTAGTTGATTTGGATCACTGTCACTGATTCAATTCGGCTGAATCTGAATCTCAAGATTTGATGCTGATTCAGAGAATCAGCAATCTGGCCATAGACACAGTTTTAAATGTTTTTTCTACATACCTCAAGGTATCAGGCGTGGCTCATGAATGCTGCAATGATGGGGCAGATGGAGCATCCCACAGGAGCACAGGGGGCCCCCCTATATGCTTGGCGGCAAACCCAGAAGTGGACCAGAAGTACTTCCAGTCCACTTCCGGATCTGCCACCGAGCATGCTGGGGAGCACCCCAGTGCCTCCTTGGCTCAGTGATTGGCCACGGGGGGGAACCCAGGTGCCCCTCCAGACCAAGGAGGCACCACTCGCAGAGCCTAGGGAGCTTGGAGGGCCCCCCTGGCATGCTGCCCAGTGGACCCAGAAGTGGACTGGAAGAGCTTCTGGTCCACTTACAGGTCTGCTGTCAAGTGCTCTGGGGAGCCCCCCGTGCTCTTGTGGGATGCTCAATTTGCCCCAGCATTGCAGCATTCATGAGGCACCTGGTACCTTGTGGTATGTAGAAAAACCATTTAAAGCTGTGTCTATGTCTGAATTGCCGAATCTCTCTGAATGGATTTAGAGGGTTGTGATTTGATTCAGAGAGATTAAAGGGTCTCCTGATTCAATTCAGATTCGGAGTTTCAGCCACTGAATCAAATCAGGGACCAAAGCTTCACAGAGCCCTAATGTTCATACACTGAGGCAGTGCTTGAGCAAGAATTAGATTTCCTAGAGTTCTTGGCTCTCATTCCTGTACTTTGTAAATCACACCATTCTTTTTTCTGTTCTATGATGTTTGCACATTAAATGCCTATCACAATACAGAATCTCAGGCCACCCCACTGTTAACATTACGCTCTGTTGAAAATGAATGTACAAGAAGGTTGCACTAAAGGTAGTGTGCTGATAGGGAGATGATTAGCTCCATGAATCTGATTCACACAGCCCTGATGTAAGTTACAGCCATTACTTTGGGGTTTCAGGTATAACTTATATTAGCAGGAAACTTAACACAGTTCAGTTCTATGTAGCCTCCTTTGCAAGCTCCCTGACCCTAGGTTTGGGGGGATCAGCAGATGCAAATTACATTCTCCAGTCTCTGTTGACCGTTACGTAGGCTTTCTGTGTCCTGATGCTTATATTTTGATAACAGTACATCACTAATTTCAAGCCAAGGGTTTTCACATCACCAGTTTAATTTTTTCCAGGAGGCTGGGCATTTTGTGCCCAAAAGCTTTTATAACATATCGCCCCAATATATAGTTGATTCAGTAAAAGGCATCACCAAAAATCCTTCTCTTTCATATATTTCCTGGATCAACATGTCCACAACAACACTCCAACACTACAACTATTTCCAAGAATTTCAAGTGACCCCTACTTTGTCATTTCTTCCGAAATTTGCAACAGCAATTTATAGTTGCAGTTCAGCAGCTCATGCAGTAGTCTCAGCCAGATATGTACAAAAGATAGTCCTCAGTCCTTCTTGTTTAGATAAATTCTAGGAAAATGTGACCCACTCTCCCACCATCTCTTTGTTGTTCTCTGTCTCTCTCTCACACACATTAATGGAAGTCTATAGGTCTTACAGATAATTTCAGGTTCAAGGAAATTGTCAGTTGTACAACATATAAATGTACAAGTATAGTGTATGAAGTACAATATAAGATGCACAAACTGTTATATATGTAACTGTAAAAGGATGAAGTTCTTTAGAGTTCCATAAAAGAAACACTCGAAATTAGCATATAATGCACATTTTACAAATTTGTAGCATAGAGGCATGGAATATTGGATTCAAGTACATTTCAATTTGGTGATGGAATGCAAATTCTTCCTACTTAGAAATTGTACTGTGTTTTATTTCATAATTTTGGAAATGACCATGTGCAACAAGACTGTTTATGTTGTGTTAAACTTAGTGAAATTACTGCAATGTAAAGCTGGTACTCTGATGAATATCACCTTTGGAATGTATTGGTAAATAGCGACTCATGTACACGTCACAGCTAAAATGGTCATTATTAAAAGTCAGCATTTATTTTTCCACACACTGATATCTGAGATTATCTCGGTATTTCCCTACTTAGAATAGACGATACCTTTGTTAACTGTTGGTAAGTGTTGGCAAATATTGACTTTTTTAATGAGTCTTCTGTTTTAAAAATAAATACTAGAAGATATATTATCCAAAGCAAATGTTTTCAACCTGAGTGCTGCATATTCTACAGTGCCATGAGATCATTTTAAGGATGCTATGGGTTGTCACGCAATATCACTACTGTGCACATTCTTCACATGATGTGCACATTTCTTCACATGATTCATAGAGATTTCAAATAGGAATCCATAATGTCAAAAACATTCTGTCCTGCTGTGGTTTATCTGAGTTTTGTGCAAGAATTGCTCTACTACTTTTTCTGACAAGTGAAAGACAAGAGCTGGCATTTTCTGAGCTGAGCTGGCTTTGGGTCTAACGAGAGATATCTTGAGTCTAAATTGAGAACCACTGGTCTAAGGAATGAAATACCTTTGACAAGCATCATGTGACTATTCCAGCATAGTTTGAAAATTTACCTCTTCTCCAACACTGTGTCAATTACCATTACCATCAAAACAGTGTTGCATTAATAACCTGTTGTTTGCTTACTAGTCATATTTAGATGAAAGAAGTCTATTGATAATCATAGTAATGGAAAGGCCTTAAGAAATGTTCTTTGTAGATCTGATTGCAAAATGAGAATTATCAGGAAAAAAATGCCCCCCTATTTATCAAAAAAAAAGTGGAATGTTTTGACTAGCTCTTATTATGTGAAGTTGAGCATGAAGAAGGACTGACTCTTAGCTTTTTCTTCTTGCAGACTGGTATTTGCGAAGCTGAAGCTTTTAATGATAGCCATAGAATACAAATCGGAAAAACGGGAAAGCAGGTATGTCAATGACTATCAAATCTAACATTTTTTGGAATGCACCATGGACAATTTGGTCTGCTTTTTTTCCAGAAAAAAATACATTGCTATTCTTACACCTTTGAAAGCATTTCAAAGCATAATTAATATGGCATCACTTTACACCAGTTCACATAATCCTGGCAGGATCTCTCTTCATGTCTCTACACCCAAACAAATTTAATGTCAAATACCTTGTTTCAAGATAAAAGATATTTTTTATGAGAAATCATCCTCAATACATATAATTTAATATCAATCAACAACTTCTTTTATATCCTTTGCCTTACAAAGGAATGTGTCAGCTCCAGTTCAGAGTCCAACATATTTTACTAGACTGTCAGGAATGGAAAATGGGAAGACACTAACTATCTTATAATAACATTACCTATTATGTGCTGCATGAACTCCTCAGAATAATATGAATAAGCTATGGAGAATTAATTTTAGTAAGAAAATTTCAGTATATCAATTTCTTTTTCTATTGAAGAAGTGATTAAAAGTTTTCTATAGTTAATAATAAAAATGCATATGCAGACAAAGGATGCTTTAGGTTTTTAAAAATTATTGCATTTTTTTATATAAGAACAAATAACAGTCTGAGCCTAATGTATATTGTAGTCAAATTTACACTTAATCTACTGGGGCTTTCATCCCTGTATTTACATTATGTTCAGCCCCATTATATTTGGAAATGTCAGAAAAAAATCTCTTACAATGTGTTCTCCCTGGTTGTGATACAGTGTAATTTAGGTTTGCAATCATATTAAATATTTTTGCAGTATGTTAGGAGCATACCTCTGGGTTTATATTAAAAATATGGAAATATCAAATCTAAGCTGAATTTTATCTTTACTTGGCCTAAAACTCTTACAGTTTTAAGATGATTCAATAAAATTATGCATGCACACAAACACACAGACACAAATATGCATGAATGTGTGGTGTGTGTGTGTATGTGTGTGTGTACACACACACATACACACACACACCATTTTTTGGCACCTGCTCACATAAAACCATTGATAGATAACATTGAGTTTATACAACCTCAGAGTTTACCAGAACAACAAATTCTCTCATTGAACCAAGTGTCATAAGTTCTTTGAGATTTTGAAGGCTTTCATATTCTTCCATGCCTTTATTTAAAGACTCTTTCCTGATCTTCATTTAATTATCCATGTTTCCATTTAAAAAACCTTTGAAAAGGAGACGGAATATCTGTTACAAAATCCAGATCTTTTTCTTTGTTATATGGGTATTCCCATGTACATGTATTCATCTTTTTTATGACTAGTTATGTGTGAAAAGGTATATGTGATGCTCAATATTCTTTTTGTCATGCAGATTAAGGGACTGCTATTTTGTCAGAATCTTGAAATGTTTTTGACTCCCATGGGCTCATCTTAAAATAAACACTTTCCATTGATCAATCTCATTCTGTGCTAGCTAATGTAAACTAAACCAGTTGTTGGTCTTGTATGTTAAATCAATTTCATCCATTTTTAGAAAGGACATTAATGGCCACTTTTTACATGAAGCATTCATTTATATTGGTTCTCACCAAGAATTCCCAACTCTTTGCAGACACTGCTTCCATGGTCATTTAGTGACCATAAGCTATGAAACTGTAGTCTCTCTGTAGCAATATAGGAGATGTCCCAGGACTCTTATGAGAATCTTGCTGACAACTTCAAGGGAAGCTGGAATGAATCCCTAATCAAAGAACGTATAGAAATCTCAAGTAAAGTAACAGTAAGACAGGGCATTTCTTACCTACATTCACATAATTTAGAAGTTCATAATTAGTAAGACTGATAGGAAGAACACATTGACAATTTAGGGAAAAATACTAAAGATGACATATTAACCCTTTTGAGCTTGTGTTTAACGTAGCTAGACATCAATATATAAGTAAACTTGTTTGAATATCAGACTTTGCTATAATAAACCAGTGTCTAAATGGTACCTCTTGCTATGATGTACCAGGGACTGTTCTAGAGTTCAGTATTTTGTGAACATCAGGGCCAACATATCTTCATTCCTTTAGAAACTATGAATAACTACTTTTTTGTGACATAACGTTAATTTATAGCCCTGAGGTCTATGTCATAGTGCACCACAATATCATACCATTCTGCTACCATTTAACCTTCCTTTTTTTTTAGCCCAATTCAGCATGCATTTAAGCGTGTACTTAATGGTAAAATTGAATATAATACATTGATAGCCATGCTTTAAAATCAAGTAAAATGCCATTGACTTACCAGAGACCTGAGATTTAAGCCTTCCCATATTGGAACCCAAAGCATTCATTTCTTACATTTTAGAGGGTCTTGAATCATACCAGTTCTGTCAGGACCAATGAAAAATTTCTATTAGCTCCTCATAAATAATCAGAAGGCATCATCCTTCTTCCTCAGGATCCATTGTTATTTGTAAAAACATGTAATATTTCTACATGAATAAACAATCTGCTCCTGTGTTTGCACAGAACTCTCTTTGAAGTTAGCGAATTGTATGCTAGAATTACAGGATCAGATGTACTAGCGCAAGGTTGTCCCACTGGTGGCTTGCAAGGGATTAATAACTGACCTGACCCATGGGCTTCCCCCCAGTTGCCACTTCTCCCACTGCTCCTGCTGCTCCTGCTTCCAGGCTCCCCCTGCTCTGTTCCTCCAGGTTCTGCTTCTTGCACTGCCTTTGGGGGCAGGCTGTTATGGGCAGGGCCCATTGTGGCCCAGGCAACTCATGTCCTACATGGAGAGTTGAACTTCCCCCAGTGAGGGGGTACAGGGAGAGGGGGAGTCCAGGTGTGCCAGTCAGGGGCCTGCAGTCTATGCAGATTATGGATCCTGGTCACTCAAAAGTTGCAAAGCCTTGTGCTAGCACACAGTTATCTACAAAGACACAGTGTGGAATCCTATCCTCATATTAATCTCTCACTGACTTCAATAGCCATGGTTTCAGTGATGATGTAAATACCCATTTACCAAAGCATTAATTTTTCTGGTAATTTGGCATTCTAAGGATTTGTAAATTAGGGTACATTTTTGCCAGTATTAACAAACACAGGGACAGATCCTCAGCGATTATAAATCAACATAGCTCCCTTTAGGTCATTGTTACTGTGTTGATTCATACCATCAATAGTGTTTATTCTCCCTGCTAGTCTTAGTTGTACTGTTTGAGGTATAAACCACAATCCTGTCAGCAGTATTGGGGCCTTAGCGCATAGGTGTTTCATGATTCTACTGAATTTCTTACAGGTAGGACTTAAACATGCTTTTAAAATGTTTATGAAAATTGAACTAGAGTTAATATAGTCTTAAACATGTAAGATATTTTAAAAATGAATATAATGACCATATACAGGCTATATTTTATGTTCATTATAGATTTCTACTCTTGCATCTAGACCATAATTACATTTTTCTTTTAGCACTCAACAAATCACTTAATATTCCTTATACTTAGGTTTAATTTTTAAGAGACAATTTAGAGTTTAGATCTTATTTTAGGATCTATTATCACAGATCCTTGCAACTGTGCACTATCTCACTGACAGCAATGGGTCTCTGCCCAGGCATAGAGGTCTGCACAAACTGATTGCAGGTGAGATTGTGAATCAGCTGTTAGTGCATTTGAAGTAATTTGTTCTACTTTGGAACTAATGAACATTGATGTGGTCAGTCTTAATATGTATGAGGAACTCTTTTTTCAGATTTACTCTTGTTTCTATGATGTAGTCTAAAAAAGCTAAAATATTGTAAAATATTTATTTTTAGTCCAGTTGTGGAAATGCCTTATCTCTATGAGAAATATGTTAGTTTACAGGAACATGGGGAGAATCATTCTGAGATTGTTAAAGTGAAAATTTCTAACTTTTCTAAGTGACTGCATTACAACCGCATCAATGTAAAATACAAAGACCAGCATAAATCACAATCTGTCAATGCCAGTCCCGTTTCTTTTTTTATATCTTATTTTCTCCAAATATAGGCAAGGATGAAAACTTAACTAACATTCTTCCCTCTTGCACCCTGTGTTTTACTCCTTCCGTTAAATTTTCTCTGTCTTTCCATTTATTTGTTCTCATTCTCAACAGAAAAACCTTTTTTAACATACAGCGTTTGGAGAATTTTAAATAAAGGGTTTTTTTGTGTTTGTTTTGGTGTCAGTTGATTTCTTATCAAAGTGTTTGATTTGCAATTTTTTTCTTGTCGTTTGCAGAAGCCGAAAGCGGTATGCCCTCTTCGTTACCTTTCCTTCCAACCTCAACCCTACCTTCACTCCTTCTAACTTCAGGACTAATTCCTTGCCAAGAACTCAGGAAGATAACACCTTTGTCTATCTTTCTCTTTATATATGTACATATATATATATATATATATATTCATGTGTCCGTGTGTGTGTGTGTGTATATATATATATATATGTATATATATGCATATTTATATGAGCCCCCAATTTCAAGGAGAGAGAATAGCATTTTGTTTCTCTGCTGGTTCTTGTGATTCATGCACTAACTTCTTTGCAGGAAATATGGAATAAAATATAAACTGTAGGGCTTTTTACCTTATGACATCTTTGGTATATCAGATTAGTACTTTCAGAATATAGACTTTCTGCTGTATGCCATCTTTTCTTCCCTCTCTTTTTTTCCCCATTTGTTTTGTATTGTGATGGTGTGTCCTCTGTGTCTACCATACTGTCCTCATATTCACATCCTTATTGTTGTCCTCCCTCCCCCACAAGTCTTTTTTTAAACATAATCTACAGTACAGTAGTTCATGTTCTCTTGTAGTTTCACTTCTCATTAACAATGGCCAAAATGGCTGAATATTTGCATTGCCAATCCAGTTTTGAGCCAGGTTAATCACTATACAGTACACATTAAAGTTACCATATTGTTCCACTGAAGTACCCATGGGTAGTTTGTATTCTGTGTTCATATTAATTTTAATACACTAGCTCACTAT